TCCTCCTCCTCCTCCTCCTCCTCCTCCTCCTCCCTCTCCTCCCTCCTCCTGTCGATCCTGTCGATCCTTGCGCAGCCGAGTTCCTCCAGGCGAGAACACAGGGCGGCGGGCGACGGCGAGCGACGCGAAAAACGAGAGCCAGGGCCAGCAGGCGAGCGATCTCGCACCGCTAAGGCCCCGAGTGTTGGAGGGGTACACGCCGACCCACGAAGGATTTGGTGGACGGATCCTTCCCCTCCTTCAGCTGCTTTAGGGTCTTCACTGCTGGCTTGTTGGGAGGCGCCCCAGGGCAACGACCTCCCAGCAGGCACAGCTTGACTGACCCGAAGGCAGCACACGAATTACACCAAACGACTCGGCCGCCATTGATCCAGAGCTTATGGCTGGTGTGGGCGAGCCTGGCCAACCTCGGGAGACCAGAGCACGGCAGAGCGCACACTGACGATTCCGAAAATCCCGAGGCGCCACAATTCACACATTCCCTCCTCCTCCTCCTCCTCCTCCTCCTCCTCCTCCTCCTCCTCCTCCTCCTCCTCCTCCTCCTCCTCCTCCTCCTCCCCCCCTCCTCCTCCTCCCTACTCCCTCCTCCTCCTCCTTTTACTCCTCCATCCTCCTTCCTTCCCTCCCTCCTCCCTCCTTCCTCATTTCCTCCTCCTCCTCCTCCTCTTCATCCTCCTCCTCCCTCCTCCTCCTCCTCATCCCCTCCTCCTCCCCTCCCTCTCCTCTCCTCCCTCCTCCTCTCCTCATCATCCTCCTCTTCCCCTTCTTCCTCTCCTCCTCCTCCTCCTTCCGCTCTCCTCCTCTCTCCTCCTCCTCCCCTCCTCATCCTCCCTCCTACCCTCCTTCCTCCTCCTCCTCTCCTCCTCCTCCCCCCTCATCCTCCTCCTCCTCCCCCCACACATCCTCATCCTCCGACCGATCCTAGCTTTTTCCCCGACTGATCGCAATTTTTTGTGGCGTCGGCCCACGGGATACCGACCCCCTCGCGTCGCCCCCAAAAAACACAGCGGGATGTTGTTTTGTCACGCTTTCGGCCTCCTGGGGGCCCTGGCTGGCCCCAGGACCGTCAAGAGCCGGCTCGGAGTGAGAAGGCCCTTTTGGGGAAGGGGTTCAGACCTGTGGGGGGGGGGGCAGATTGCGGACAGAATCACGACGTCGGGCGTCTGGTGATCTCGACCCCTTCTCCAAGATTGGTTTTCATCCTGAGCCGTTGCTCGACGGCCCCAAGGCCAGGAGAAACGGCCGCCGTGCGAGTCTGCTGGAATCGCCCGGATACGGTAAGTTCGCGCGGGGTCGGCGCGCGCCAAGGTTTGTGATACCGCGCAGATCGTTCAACCTTGAATCGATCGCAGCCCCGACTGTTCAAGATTGAATTCCGTCGGATCCTTGTGCGTTACTGTGCCCCTCGGTGCTTCCGCGTCGTTGTATGATGCGAAGTTCAACCTGGAACGCCTTCGCTGGCGTCGCCGGCGCGCCATCGCCGCATGAACCTCCTGTACAAAGGGGAGGTTTTGCCCGCTCTCTCCTCTCCCCTCCACCCCTCCGCGCCCCTCTCCCCTCCGCTCCGATTGCAAATTCCGTATCGACCGTCCAGGGGTCTCCCCCCAAGAGCGGGGGGCAATGCCCGCAGCTGTGGCGCGATCGACTTGGAGCAGGCCCCCAGGCCAGACTTTCCAGGTGCGCGAGACCGCGTGACGGACAGCGTGGTCCGATAGGTCCGCCCCCGCACGCTTGTCGGGACCCAGGGGGCCCTGGTGGCCCGAAAGGTCCTCGGAGCACGACAAGAGCCCCAAAACCGCACGGCGACACCGAGCCCCCACAGCCTCACCACGCGGCGTGGTCACCGCACCGCGTCGGGGCCCCCGAAGACTTGGCTCCCAAGGATCGCGCCGCATCGCCAATGCATCGGCGACGCCAGCGACGCATCAGCGACGTTAGCCATTGGGAAACTCGGGCTCCACTTCGAGCCGCATCTCCAATGCGTCGGCGATGCGGCGAGATCCTCTGACCCGATCTGCTCGGACCCCATCTGGGAGGCCTGGATCCTCACCCATTCCTCCTCCTTAGCCTCCGCTCCTCCTCGATGCTCCTCCTCCTCCTCCTCAACCTCCTCCTCCTCCTCCTCCTCCTGCTTGGCGTCCTCCTCCAACTCTCTCTCTCCTCCTCTCCTCCCTCTCCTCCTCCTCCACTCATCCTCCTCTCCTCCTCCCTCCTCCTCCTCTCCTCCTCCTCTCCTCTCCTCCTCCTCCTCCTCTCCTCCTCCTCCTCTTCCTCTCTTAAGCTGGGTAGTCACTCCTCTCTCCTTCGTCCTCTCCTCCCCTCCGCCTCGCTCCTCCTCTCCTCCTCCTCCTCCTCCTCCTCCTCCCCTCTTCCTCCTCCTCCTCCTCTCCATCCTCCTCCTCCTCCTCCTCCTCATCCCCCTCCTGCCCTCCTCCTCCTCCTCTCTCCTCCTCTCTCCGCCTTCTCCTCCTTCTCCCTTCCTCCTCTCCCCCCTCCCCCTCCTCGTCATCGACTCCTCCTCCTCCTGATGCTGCTGCTGCTGATCCTCCTCCTCCTCCTCCTCCTCCTCCTCCTCCCCAGCGACGACGCTGCTCGGCTCGTGGGCGGCCGCAGCTGGGGCACGGCGGACGCGGCGGACCGCCCCTGGTGGGATCGAGGGCAGTCCGCGCCAGCGCCATGCCCGCGGCGCGCTGTCGCGCAGCTCCGTCCTGGCCCCGGGCGCGGCCGGCCGGGGAGACCGTCGAACGACATCCGAAGCCTCCAACATCCCCTCCTCCTCCATCTCCCGCCTCCTCCTCCTCCCCTCCTCCTCCTTCCCTCATCCTCCTCCTCCTCCTCCTTCCTCCTACTCCTCTCCTCCCCCCTTTTCCCTCTACGCTTCCTCCTCCTACTCCCTCCTCCTCCTCCTCCTCCTCATCATCATCATCATCATCATCTTGCTCGTCCTAGTTTTTTCCCCCCCCTTTCCTCCTCATCGTCCTCGTCCTCGTTTTTTTTTTTCCCCCTCCTCCTCCCGCTCCTCCATTCCTCCTCCTCTCCTCCTCCTCCTACTCTCCCTCCTCTCCTACTCCACCTCTCCATTCTCCTCCTCCTCCTCCTCATCATCCTCATCCTCATCCTGCTCCTCCTCCTCCTCCCTCCTCGTTCTCTCCCTACATCCTCCTCTTCCTCGCGCCCTTGCTCGTCGCTCCTGCTCCTCATCATACTCCCCCTCCTCTCCCTCCTACTCCTCCTCTCCTCCGCCTCCTCCTCGCTCATCCTCCTCCTCCTCCTCATCCTCCTCCTCTCCTCTCCTCCCTCCCTCCTGATCGTTCTCATCCTCTCTTTCTCCTCCTCGCCCCTCCCCTCGTCCTCCTCTCCATCCTCGCCCCTCTCCCCCTTGGAGTCCTCCTCGCACCCCTCGTCGTCTCCCCTCCTCCCCTCCTCCCTGATCCTCGTCTTTGCTATCCTCGCTGGTTCTCCTCCCCTGCCCCTTCTCCGCCTCCTTCCTCCTCCTGCCTCCCACGCCTCATGCCTCAGGCTCTCACTGCACGGCTGCGAGGGCATGCCGCGTGCTCTCCGCACACGCACGACCGCACGCACACATGCACAGACAAACAGACAGACAGACAGACAGACAGACAGACAGACAGACAGACAGACAGGCAGGCAGGCAGGCAGGCAGGCAGGCAGGCAGGCAGACAGACAGAAAGACACGCGCACACACACACACACACACACACACACACACACACACACACACACACACACACACACACACACACACAAACACACAAACACACAAACACACAAACACACAAACACACACACACACACACACACACACACACACGCGCGCGCACACATACGCACACACGCACACACTTTTGCGTCGGCGGCTGGGCAGATGACGACTGCTCCGTCAGAATGGCAGCAGGGAGCACGCTGCATGCAAATTAAGGCCACAATGCACGGGAGGAGGAGGAGGAGGCCACGCACGCACACACACACACACACACGCACGCACACACACACACAACAAACACACACACCAACACACACCACCACACACACACACACCACACCACCACACACACACGCTGGCACGCACGCACGCACGCACGCAAGCACGCACGCACGGCACCACACACCACACACACACACACACACACACACACACACACGCCACAACACACACACACACACACGCACACACACACACACACACCACACACCACACAACCACGCACGCACGCACGCACGCACACGCACGACGCACGCACGCACGCAGCACACACACAAACGATCACACACACACACACACACTTTTGGCGTCGCGGCCATCTGGGGGGGGGGGGGCCGGGGCGGCGGGCGAACGGCGCGTAGAAAGGAAAAGCCGAGTGCAGGCAGTGAAGCGCGACGCACAGGCACAAGCTCACACACATTCATGTGCATATTCACGTTCATATGCACATTCCCGTTCACGTTCACACTCGCAGAGGATCCACGCACTACTCACACATAAGAATGGGATTCGTGTCGCGGTCGTCTTCGGCAGGCGGCACAATTCAATGGCGCCAAACTGCAACCCCCAGCGCGCCCAAAAAAGAACGGACCCTCTGACATCGGACGCTTGTCCTCGCCCGTGTCGGTGGGTATCTGCTGGAAGAGGACGTTGTAGAGTTTCAGGACAACGAACTTCTCGAGACCTTCCTCGACGAGCTCCTGCTGGTTATCGGACCTCACATGGCCCTTGCTAGCAACAAGAACACCATGGATCAGAAAAGCAAGAGGGTGCGAGCTAAAGAGAGCGAGTGTGAGAGAGAGGGAGTGATATAAGAAGGGCTTGGATGGGGTGGTTAATTGTCAGGATGAAGTGGGATGAAACTGCACGGCAAGACGCAGCATGCGATGGGGTTGGATCTGGTGGAATGTGTTCAGTGATGATCTGTACTTCACATTCTCGGTCTGCGTCGGATTCGCCTCCTCACACCAACCCTTTCTGGTATTGCACGCATTCAACTGCAAAGGGTAACCAGGCGGACCAGGGCCAGGCCTGGGGCAGGGACCCAGGCAACGAGGAACATGCTTCGTCACTGAACACAGCGAGTGACACAGCCTGACAATTAATACTCTGAGATCGCGGGAAGGGTTCCAGTGGCCTGCTGGGGATCGCGCGCGCACCCGCACCGCACCGCGACATCATGATGATGTCGCAGAGGTGGCAGCTGCTGAGCCCAAGTGTTTTGCTCCAGACGCCTAGGACGTCCCCATACAGCCGAAAGTATGATTAAGAAAACAATCGTGTTAGAAACCTGGGCCAGCTTCCCAGAAGTTTCTGAAAACAAGCCTGGGCAAATTCCTGTTGGTAAAGCTGGAGGGGCGAACGTGCTCAAGAAACTGGGCCAGCTCTCCAGCGAGTTTGTCTAGAAACGCTGGCCCAACGTTTCGGGAGGAGGTTTCTTAATCATTTGCTCGACCGTAATAGCCCTTGAGCTTGGACTGACATCCGGCAGCCCTGCGCTAAAATCAACCCGTTGCAGTCACGGTGGACAACATTAACATCGACTCACCGATCCCTACCCCCACAGGCACAGTCTGGGCCCCACTGGCCGATTTTACCCCCCCACTATTGATGGGGATATAGGCTGCGCCGAGCCCAGGGGGGAAGTGAGAAGGGGCGGGCCTTCTCAGAAGGCTCGGAAGTCCTCGGGCCTTCTGAACAGAACTGTCCAAGCCTTACCCGAAGCCATAGAAGAGACTTCTCAGGTGGCGGGAGGGCTTCTGAGAAGCCCCGCCGCCTTCTGAGAAGGCCTCCTGCTTCCCGCGCCCCCTCCCGCTCGCCACCGCGATGGGGATCGGCCCAACGATCATCCACGTACCGACAACGTGGGCCCTCAGCCTTCCCGCCGTGGGCCCGCCCTCCCGAGCGACTGCGCGCGCCCGTGGGCGCCTCGGGGCGCGAGCCGGCCCACCCGCCCCAGCGATCGCCCGCGGGCCCTCCGCAGAGCGCCCGGCCCGTCCGCCGCGAAGGCCTCGGCCAGGAGGAGGCGCGGCGCCGCGTCGGAGAGGAAGACGCGGACCCGCCTGCCGCAACGGGGGCGTTGCAATTCAGTCACACGGGGCGCTTTCGCCAGCAGACCCTGGGACCCTCACGTATTGATCTGGCCCGAAGAAAAAACGAAGAACGATGGGGTCTGGCGCTCCAGTCGTGATTTGATTCGCGATTTTGCAATTCTTTCGCCACGTCGGATCGCAGGGGACGGTCGGGAACTTTTGCACAGCGTGTCGCGGCGGTGGCCCCGGCGACACGCCATGCCCTACCGCCAGAAGCGCCACAGAAAGGTAATGACTAAGGTTCTGGTCGTGGTTTCTGACGATGTTACAAGTTTCTCGCCACGTGGGATCTCCAGGGAATTCTCAGATGTCATATCACGCGAAGATGGCGACCCCAGAGTCCCCGAATTTGCGGGGCGTTAGATTGGGTAGAACATTCGGTCCCCAACTCGGGGACATGCTATTTGGGGGGAGTCCATCCTCGGTAATGGCGATCGCCCCCTCTCCAGTGTGCGTCCCATAATTCCCATTCTTTTCTGAGCGGCCCGATTTCTCGGGAGGCAGCGTGGGGATTGGCGGCGAAGAATCGCCCGCGATGCCGGACATTCAAGACCTCGAGATCCGATGCATTGCTGCTTCAATGCGCCCTGCTACCACTGACGGCGCGCACGGGTGGGGGGAGGGGGACAGGCTTCTTAGAAGCAGGCTGCTTCTTAGAAGGCGCCGGACCCACATCCATAGATCAGGCCCGCGCCTTCTAAGAAGTACGGGCGCTTCTGAGCAGCCTTCCCCCCTCCCGCTACCCCCCTCTGCGCGTGGCCGATCCCCCCCCCCGTGAGTCTCGACCTCTCTCCCCATAGGGCTGCATTTTTTCATCAGAGGCAGTTCTTGGGCGGCCCTGGGGCCAGCGAGGGCCCCAGTCCGAAAGTTGTGAAAGGCCTTCGTGTTGTGGTTTCAGTGCGTTGCAGGTCTGGGAGAAGCGGGGAGGGGACGCGGGAGAAGCGGGTAGGGGCTGGAGGAAGAGGAGGGCGAGGATGAGGAGAATACGGGGAGCGGTCAGGAACTTGTACTCAGCGTGTGGCAGCGCCGGCCCATGCGACACACCATGCCGATACCTGGAGAGCCGATAGCGCGTCGCCCCCAAGGTTGCAGCCGAAGCGGAACACGCGTCGCACTGGAGGTCTGGAAGCACTTGGAATGCGCCGAAGGATGGTGGGCCCGAACCGGCGGTGCGACACGCTTGGCAAAAGCTCCTGGCCGTAAAGCCAGAGGGGTAAGCAACACACCATGGCAGCCCGCCGAAAAACTGGCACACCCTGGATACCAGAGATCCCTGGGCCATGCCAGACATCCTACGTCGTGCTTTTTCGCCACCTGGCTCATCAGGTCTGGACCTCTTCCCGGCGACCTGTTTTTCACGCTGTGTCGTTTTGGGAGGCCCCGTCGCAACCGGTCGGCGCTCCTCACAGGGGGCCAGCTGGTCCCAGATGGATGCCACGCGACGCGGCGTGCGCGGCAGTGCCCTCTCAAAAATGGAGCGGGGCGGGCCCGCGTGGCGAGGCCCCTCGCGTTGCTGCGGGGCGGCAGCGGGGGTCTGGCTGGCCCCTCGCGGCCCGCCCGCGGTCCCCCGTGGCCCCGCGCGGCGCTGCGGCGTGGGGGAAGGAGGAGGAGGAGGAGGAGGAGGAGGAGGAGGAGGAGGAGGAGGAGGAGGAGGAGGAGGAGGAGGAGGAGGAGGAGGAGGAGGAGGAGGAGTCGACAGTCGGTCGGCCTCTGCGGCCCGTGGCCCCTCGGGGAAGCAAGTGGCCCCTCGAGGCCCCCAGTGGCCACTCGTGGCGTGCGTCGAGTCTGCAGCTCCCTGTGCCCTGCTGCCCCTGACGTGCCCCGCTGTGGCCTGGAGGTGTCCCCCCGCCTGCTCGGGACGGGGCTGCCTGGAGCTGGAGGACGTGGCAGGCAACCCTCGTGGCTGCCTTGTTCGTCGGGGCATCCCCGAACGGAGCGTGCAACATTGTGGACCGTGCAGAGCAGGCAGAAGCAGCAGCAGCAGACGGCCCGGGCCTCGGCCTCGACGAGTTGACCAACGCCCGCTCGTAGGCCAAGGAGAGTCTCGCGACGACCGAGGAGGTGCCGACCAAGCAGGGGGCCACAGAACTTCGACGGATCCGTTGTCCGATCCGCGGGCCAAAAAGTGGGCAGCCACATGCAAACACTGCCCTTGCAGGTCAGATATGGAAAAGCTGGCTGGGACTCAGAGTGACTTGAAACATGTCTGCAGCCAAGTGAGCCCCAGCGGGGGCGTCCGATACCCCAGCGTCGATCGGATCAGCAGGGCAGGGTTCGCAAGTGGTCGCAGACTGAGGTCTCGACCCCGTCCACAGGCGCGTTTCGTGCCGCATCAGTGTTAGACGAGGGCCCCCAGGCCCGAGAGCGGCACCAGGAGGCGGAAGCTGTGAGGAGCACGCACACCAGGACGAGAAACAACTCGATCCGTCAGAGGTCTGGGGCCGAGCGGAACCAGGAGGCGCGGAAGGGCCAGCTTCAGCTTTTCAGAAACATGGCCTAGAGATCGGTGCACGCGCGAAGGCCATCAAAGAAAAGAGGCAGCGACAAGGGCTGAGGACGAGGAGAGAAGCGCACAAAGGGGAGGCAGAGTGGGCCAGAAGAGTTCCAAGAGCCTGCCTAGAATACTCCTACCCCCCCCCCCAACCATCGAGTATCCTGAATCGATGGCAGGCGGGGGGGGCGGCTCGGATTTCGCCACGTGTTCGACGAATTCCGAGCCCTACCCCCGCCTGCCTAAATCGCTGATTGGCGAGGGTAGGGTTCGGACTTCGCCGCCGACACGAGTAGGAACTCGGCGCCCAATCCTCATCATCCCAGACATCCGACGCCGTAATAGTTGCGCACCGTAGGTCCCCAGAGATCTGGGCCTCTATACCCGGGGGGGGGCAGCTTCGCATCCCGAGTAGTTCCCCACATCCTGAGATGGGTGTTCTTGCTATTGCTCAGACGCCTCCGATTCCTCAAACGTTCCTCCCCTCCTTATACTCCTTGTTCTCCATATCCTGAGATGGGACTTCCTTCACATTCAGGCTCACTTGTACTCAGACCCCTCCTATACTCAGATCGCGCACGCACTCACACACTCAGACTCGCTCCTGCTCAGACCCATTCACTCTCACACGGAGACTCACCCACACATACTAACTCACACTGGTTCATACTCACTCATACTCAGGCTCACTCAGACTAAGACTCGCACTCAAACTCACTCACACCCAGACTCACTCGCACTCAGACTAGCTCATACTCAGACTCACTCACACTGAGACTCACCCACCCTCAGACTCACTCATACCCAGACTCTCTTGTACTCAGTACTCAAGATCTCTTAGACCCAGACTCGCTCAGACGCATACTCAGACTCACTCGCAATCCGAGTAATGTACACGGTGATTCACTCATCATACTCTGACTCACCCATACTCAGACCCACTCATACTCGTCAGGCTCATACTCAGACTCACTCGCACATCTCAGACTCGGACTCACTCACACACAGATTCACTCACACACAGATTAACATACACGTGGCCATCACGATATAGCAGGCGTGGCACCTAGGCACCCCAAGGGGGAGCCGCCAGGGGTGGGGACGCTCCAGAAGTCGCGTCCCGATTGCCGGGATCCCTGAAGCGGTCTGCTTGCTGCGGCCCCCCCTGCTTCCCAGACTTGCTGGCCCAATGCTAACCGCGATGTAGCAGGCGTGGCGCTTGGGCACCCCAACGGGAAGACGCCAGCCGAAGGGGCACTCCCAAAGTCGCATCCAGGTTGTGGGGATGTCTCAAGCGGTTTGCCTGTGCCCCCCCCCAGGCTTCCCTCCCTTCGTGGTCCAATGCTCACCGCGATGAAGCAGGGGTTGCATTTGGGCACCCCGAGGGGGATCCACCAGGGGTGGGAATGCTCCAATCTTCACGTCCAGATTGTGAGGATGTCTCATCTCAGAGCAGCAGATCGTGGGGATGTCTCACCAAGGCGCTTGTCTTAGACGCGGCACCGGCTCGTCCCTTTCCTCTTCTCTCCTCCATTCCTCCTCCTTCCCTCCTCCCTTTCTTCTTCCCTCCTCCCTATCTCAACCGTCCCTTTCTTTTCCTCCTCCCTCCCGTCTGGCCGTTCGGGCTTGAGCGTTTCTTGGCGATGGTTCTAGGAGCCCTGCTGATCCCGCCCAACGCAAAAAAGGAAGGCTTGAACGAGCACCCCTGGAGATCCCGCTCAACGTGGGAAAGGGGACTTCAACCAGCACCCACAGAGATCCCGCTCAACGCCAATACAACGATCATGGCCATCTACTAACGGGCAGCTTGCGGAGGCTGACACGTTCATGTACACACATGCCAAAGCCACCACTGGCGACAACGATTCCCAATGGCGACCACTGGACTCGCTCTCACACCCAGATGCTGACAGACAGAATTCCCCAGCGAGACGTGACAAGAATATGAGATGCACATGGCGGAATCACCGCGTCACGTAATTGTTTGAAGCTCCTGGGAACTGGCAAGGTCTTCCAAAGCCCGAATGTAGCCGAACACCTCGCGTTATCATGCTTCTCACGGCGCGAAACTGTCAGGGTGCCCGCTCCCCCTGTGCACCCCGATGGCGATTCTGCAAGCGCTCTAGTTCCCCGAGCAGCCCGCCGGGCCTGGCGGCCTCCTGCCTGGGCAACCCAGGCGGGAACGCTGTGACGAAGCCGTGAACGTCATTGGCCACTGCCTTCCGCTTGCGTGGGGGGACTGCGTGGGGGCCCAGGGGCCGGCCTAGCAGCCGCGCGGCGGCGGCGGGCGGCGGCGGCGGCGTGTTTTCATGTTTTGTTTGAGGTTCTGCGTTGATTCAAAACTTAGCATGTACAGTACATATGCTTACATACAGATATGCGCAAATCTCAATGTATCGGATGACGTGTGTCTGAACATCTCTCTCTCTCTCTTTCTCTCTTTCTGCCCCTTCCTCTCTCTCTTTCTCTGTCTGCCCCGCACACGAAAAAACAACAACCACAAAACGCCCTCGTCCCCTGAATGAAACAACGACCCGATGAACGAGACCATCGCATCTTGAATTCGCCTCTTGTGGTGCGCAGCTGAGAAATGTTGAAGCATGATCGGGAAAGGGACGAGGGAGGGATGGAGCTGCCGTGTGGGCCTAGGGTGCGGCGGAAAACTGCGCGCGAGGCCAAAGCAGGCAGCACGCCGCCCCCGACACCAGTAGCCTGAGTGCCCTCTCCGCCCCGACCTGCTTAATTATGTTGCACCCTATGTCGAAATCTCCTATCGTTTTAATTCCACTTCGCACGGCGCTCCACCGCAACCACACTTCACCGCAACCTACCGCGCTCCGCCTCCGCCGCCGACCTTGCTCCTCATCCGCTATCAGCGCCCCATCTGCCCCGACCCATTGTCGCACGGCGCGGCGCGGCATGGCACCGCGGCCTCGGCCCACCGCAACGATGTCCTCCCGCACCCCCTGGCCAATTCCGCTCCTGTTCACCAGCAACCCGCGCACTCCCTCGCCCCGATACATTTACCGTGTGTGCGGCGTGGTACGGCACCGCAACCCCGTTCCACCGCAGCCAGAGAGCCCCACTGCTGAATCAGCTTTCTCCTCGCCGTTCCCTACTTCGGCTTGCCTGGAAGGTTCTTACTTGGTGAACGGTTTGTGCCTCGGGTGGCTACTTTGCCCGTTCTTCGCCCCGGATTCCTCGGGCCCCGGATTCCTCGGGTTCCCCGGGATCTTCGGGTTCCCCAGGATCCTTGGGTTCCTTGGGCTCCCAAGGTTCCTGGGGTTCCCCCGGTGCCTAGTGATCCCCAGGTTCATCGGGTCCCCGGGTTTCTCGGGTTCCTCGGGTTCCCCAGGTTCCCCGGGCTACTCGGGTTCTTCGGGCTCCTCGGGTTCTCCGCCCCTGGTGCTTCGTCTTCTTATAAGCACCGCCAAACAATGCCAAGCAATGCCAAGCAACGCGAATCAACGCGAAACAATGCCAAACAATGTTAAGCAATGCCCAGCAGTTCGAAGCAATGCGAAGCTATGTGAAGCAATACGAAGCAATGCCAAGCAATGCCAAGCATTGCCAAACGGGTTGCCCGCCCCCGGTGCTTCGTATGCTTAGCAATGCCAAACAACGCCAAGCAATGCCAAGCAATGCCGAGCAACACCAAGCAGTGCCAAGCAATGCGCCCATGCAATAGGAACCAATCCCCTAATTGGAGTCGCGCCGGGTTCCTTCAAGTACCCCCTGCTCCAGCCATCATTCCGGAATGGGCGCGACGCGGCCCATCGGAAGCGCCCGGCGCACCGTTCCCACCGCACCCTCGGGTGGTCCACCGTCAAACAACGCTCCGCGCATGGAACCGACACTCCGGCACCGGGGCCAGACGGGCGACAGAGTCCTCGCGGAGAGAACCGAAACAGCGAACGGCTTGAAATGTCCTTTTGCTCGGGTTCCGCAACATTCGGGATATGTGCGAGACGTATCTGAAGTCGCCCCTGAAGCAACAACACAGGGACGTGGAAGAGAATGCCTTCCGCGAAAGGCCGCGAGCGGACACGCACGCGAGTCACACGTGCGAAGAGGCATAGGGAGAACACCAAACGAGCCAAACCCTGGGGACCGACCGCACTTGTGTTCTCACCGCGTGGTCGGGCGACCCTCGCAAAGGCAGAGTTTCTCCCTCCCGCTTCGCCCAGTCGGGCCTGGCCTCCCGCCTCCACGTTCGTCGTCGTCTGCTGCCTGGCTGGTCCTCCGTTCCTCTCCCTCTCCCTCGCTGGGCAGTCGCGGCTGCCGGGGGGCTGCCGCGGACGGCGCCCGCTGGCCGCCTGCAAACACAGCCTCTCGATTCGCTGTGTTGTGCATAGTTGTCTCGCGGCGTTCTGCCTCCAGGCACCAGGGAAGCGCAGAACGAGGAACAATGGGGGCGGTTCGGGGCAGGGCCGCCCGCGCGCTCCCAAAAAACCGTGTCAGCTTAGGCGAGCGTGTTTTCATTGCCTTTTGCTGCTTTCTGTCCTGCGAGACTCGCAGCTAGAAGCGTCTGAGAGGACATCTCTTGGAAATCGTTGGGACGGAGACTTCAGCGGACAGCGCCCAAAGAGACCTCACGGCGCGATTCTGTTATGCGAGCTGATTGCCCTTCAACGTTGCGTTGTTCTGCCTCTTGTGGGCGGGAAACCGACAAAAACAATGATGACGACCAAATGCTGGGATCTGATGATTTGAGGCGCCATGCGCTTGGCAAGCTGGCCGCACCGAAATCCACAATATCAGAGCTGCTTCAGGCAAACGTGCTTACACGTGTGTTGACATTCCATTCCCCCACGAAACCAGAACACCCTTGCCTGGGGCCATCGAACAACACGTAGTAGTAGTAGTAGTAGTAGTAGTAGTAGTAGTAGTAGTAGTAGTAGTAGTAGTAGTAGTAGTAGTAGTAGTAGTAGTAGTAGTAGTAGTAGTAGTAGTAGTAGTAGTAGTAGTAGTAGTAGTAGTAGTAGTAGTAGTAGTAGTAGTAGTAGTAGTAGTAGTAGTAGTAGTAGTAGTAGTAGTAGTAGTAGTAGTAGTAGTAGTAGTAGTAGTAGTAGTAGTAGTAGTAGTAGTAGTAGTAGTAGTAGTAGTAGTAGAAATGATACGAAGCGTCAGACAAATCACACATAGGAGTGGTGGCCAGAAAAAGATCAATAGTAATAGTAGTGGTCGTAGTAACAAAACAGCAGTAGTAGTAGTGGCAGTAGTAGCAGTAGTAGCAGTAGTAGTAGTAGTAGTAGTAGTAGTAGTAGTAGTAGTAGTGGTAGTGGTAGTGGTAGTGATAGTCGTAGTAGTAGTAGTAGTAGTAGTAGTAGTAGTAGTAGTAGTAGGTGTAGTAGTAGTAGTAGTTGTAGTCGTAGTAGTAGTAGTAAAAATAATAATTGTAGTAGTCGTAGTAATAGTAGTAGTAGTAGTAGTAGTCGTCGAACTAATAACAATATGGTTAGTGGTAGTGGTAGTGGTAGGAGTAAACAGATAGTAGTAGCAGTAGTCAAAGTGGTAGTAGTAGTAGTAGTAGTAGAAGTAGTAGTAGTAGTACTAGTACTAGTACTAGTACTAGTACTAGTAATAGTAGTAGTAGTAGTAGTAGTAGTAGTAGTAGTAGTAGTAGTGGTAGTAGTAGTTGTACTAGTAGTAGTAGGAGTAGTAGTAGGAGTAGTAGTAGTAGTAGTAGTAGTGGTAGTAGTAGTAGTAGTAGTCGTAGCAAGAAGCAGTAGTAGTCGTAGAAATATAAACTGTAGTAGTCGTATTCGTGGTAGAAGTCAAAGTCATAGTCGTAGTAGTGCGAGTAGTAGTAGCAGTAGTAGTAGTAGTAGTCGCTGTACTAGTAGTAGTAGTAGTAGTAGTAGTAGTAGTAGTAGTAGTAGTAGTAGTAGTAGTAGTAGTAGTAGTAGTAGTAGTAGTAGTAGTGATAATAGTAGTAGTAATAGTAGTAGTAGTAGTAGTAGTAGTAGTAGTAGTAACAATTGCGCCGCCAGAATTTGACCATATCTACTGCTGCTGGGTCGTGTTGCGAGGACTCGGGGAGCGGCGGATATGGATATCTGCCCGCTCACGCGGGCGGGCGGATATCCACATCCACTGCTCCTCGAGATTTCAGGGCACGACTCCGAAGCGGTGGATGTGGACATACTCTGGCGGTGGAACAATAGTAGTAGTAGTAGTAGTAGTAGTAGTAGTAGTAGTAGTAGTAGTAGTAGTAGTCGTCGTACTAGTAGTAGCAGTAGCAATAGTAGTAGTAGTAGTCGTAGTAGTAGTAGTAATAGTAGTAGTAGTAGTAGTAGTAGTAGTAGTAGTAGTAGTAGTAGTAGTACTCGTCGTAGTCGTAGTAGTCCTAGTTGTAGTAGAACCAGTAGTAGTAGTGGTCCCAGTTGTAAGTGTAGCTTTCGTAGCGTTAGTAATAATAGTAGCCGTAGTCGTAGCCGTAGTAATAATGGTAATTGTCATCGTAATGGTCGTGGTAGTCGTCGTAGGAGTAGTACTAGTACCAATCGTAATCGTATTGGGGGTAGTAGGACACATGAAAATAGTATTTGTACTGGAAGTATATGCAGTAGTGGTAGTAATCATACGCCAGACAGGATGCTCAGCAGTTCTCGTAGTAGGAGTAGTCGTACTAGTAGTAAAAAAAATGCTGGTAATAGTAATAGTCGTAATGGTCGTAAACCAAAACAGAAATTGTAGTAGTAGCCGTGCTCGTAGAAGTAGTAGTAGGAGTGGTAGTAGTCGTAGTAGTAGTAGTAGAAGAAGAAAAAGTAGTAATAGTCGCAGTAGATATCGTCATCGTCGTGGTAGCAATGAAATGGTAGCCGTAGTAAGAGTATAACTGACATTCGTAGTAGTAGTAGTAGTAGTAATAAAACTAGCAATCGCATTTCTAGTCCTACTATGAATAATACGTGTGATCGTACTCGTAGTAGCAGTAGTAATGGCACCACCATCATGATAATAGCAGTAGTCCTAGTAGCCGGGGTGATCATAATATTAGTCGCATTAGTAGGCGCAGTAATAGGATGAGTCGTAGTCGAAGGTCGTCCAAGTAAAAGTAGTCGTAGACGTACTCGTAATGATAGCAGTAGTCGTGGTAGTGGTGGTACGAGTAGTGGTCGTACTAGTAGTAGTAGTCGTCGTCGTCGTCCTAGCAACGGGAGTACTACAAGTAGTAGAGGTCGTAGTAGTCGGACAAGAAGTAATACGACTGGTA